TTGATCGATGTTGGTTGGGTTGATGACGAGTGTGAGGTTTATTATGTCGCAGTATGTAACAAATAACAATTTCAAAATGGAAAAAGCTTTTGGGATAAGAATGATGACAGTGACATTGACAATAATTAAGCTTCCTCCTAAAGTCCTAACAGGAAAGGAAAGCTTTCACACATTACAACTCCCAATCCTGACTTTCAAGTCCAAGCCACCCAATAGCATTCATAGACAGGCGTGAAATAATACAGAGGAAACAACAACTCCACCCTTTTTCGTCAAAGGAATCAATAGAAGAGTTAGTTTCCCTGTAAATGTGAACAAAATCCACCTCTCCAACAACTTCGCTAAGCCTATCAATCTCGGCCAAGACTTTCCATTGATTCCAAGGCCAAGAATTCATATTGAGCACCCAAATGATAGCCAAAGGGACAAGGAAGTATTACAATTCTTTTAAGAATTACCAAAGAATAATAATTGCAGGAAGCATATAGGGAATTTTCATGAACAAAATATTTCAGCAATTAATTGAATCGAAGCCTTTTCAGGGCAATCAATATGAACCATTAAGATAGATGGTGGCATTACCTAGAAGCACTAGACAGAAGTAAAGAGAAAAATATTAAACTCTTGCTAGTGTTAAAGCTCTGTTTCCTACTTGGGCAAGCATTAATTAAAGAGATATAAAGTTAAATAGAATACAATGAATGTAATTAGCACTTGAAATATAGATATATTACTTTTAATATTTTATTTATTGTACTCCCTTTTACTTTTTTTTTATTTGTTATGTTGATCATTTGTCAATTTTATTTAATAGAAAATAAAATATTTTAAAATTCTTTCTACACATTGATGGAATTTTAAAAATATCTCCTAACCTAATAAGTTTTCTTTAAAAAAGTTGTCATTTGTAATTTTTTTAAAAATTATACCATGTCATTTATGCCATTATCCTTTTTATTTTTTTGCATATTTCACCCGTTTAATATGTTTCATTTTTATTTTTTTTTCTATATTCCTCTTATTGATTTTTTTAGAATTAATTAATGCGTTGGAAACTTGTTTTTCAATCTCTATTGCTTACAACTAGGACTGGAGTCCGTCGTCTATGATTCCAAAGGAGTGGTAAAAGTTTCGGTAAAAGTAAACCCAATGACTATAGTAAAGAAAATTGAAAATGGGGCAAAATTGCAGAGCTTTGGCCCTTCCTAAAGTCCCCTCAGCAGGATGTTCCAGGGCATTGCTACCAAAGGTATTGATAGTTTTGATCATGATTTACATGCCAAAATGGACAAAGACTGTTGTTGTCGTTCTGATGCTATATATTTTTTATTCTGATGATGATAATCATCATCATAGTCATGTTCAAGATAATGACTGTTAATAACATGCAGCGAAGAAAAGCAATGACAACATCACTTGGTAACATCCTGATCTCACCATCTACAAGCAAAGCACAAACAGTGAAGGCAAGAAATGGTTTGTTCGTTTGTTTTGTAAGAAAAGTGGAGGAGCAAAAGAGAAGATGGATGGAATAATCAATTTAGGAAAACCCTCAATGGTGAATAGACCATACAAATGGCAATTTTCTAGGGCACCTCTGCCTGAATACGCCGGTCCTAGGCCATGCTATCGACCCTTTGAGCCATATCCTCCGCTTGGAAGGCCATCAGCACCTCCATATCATCCTTTCGGGCCCACCGCCTCCACCACTGGTGCCTCCTCCGTATGATTTTTTCAACTCTAGGCCACCGCGAAAGGTTAACCCTATGATCCACTCTACTTGTTATGTGGACAATTATGGTCGCTGGTGAACTGTTTAATGCTTGAACATGCCTTGCCTTTTGCATTATATATGCAGGTTTATTTGCAAAAAGGACTTGTTATTTGTTTGTCTTTGCTTTAGAGATATTGTAGTCTGTTCATGTAAAATGGATAACTAATTCTGTCCTTTGTTTGAGATCGTTAGAACTATTTAATACTTTGATTTCAACTTTCTTTGGACTTCAGGGATAATATGGATGCTAATTGATATTGATTCCTATGGGTTACACTGATTCTAGATGTTGAAATTTTCTTAAAAAAAGGACTTCTTGCCATTGAGTCCTTACTAAAACTTCAGTAGTATTCATTCTTTAATGGTTCTCATAACAGAGTAAATGTTTAAGTATATGAGTTCAAAGATCATGCATAAAATACATGATCATGACAAGGCCCGGAGGCTATAATTGAAAGATCATGTGTAAAATTAATGAGTGAATCATGATAAGCCCCGAAGGCACTTTGTAGTGTCTTGCTGTGAAGGAGAAAGGCCATAGCAGTTGTGTCAAGCATAAGAAAGAAAATCAATTGATAGTAAATAAATAGGTTTAACTTTAATAAAAAAGTAAAAAAAAAAAAAACACTCAATACTTATCAAATTTGAGATAATATCACATGAAAAGGCTTCATTACATATGCATTGAAAGGGATAACACACAATAATAACAAATAATAACAATAGAACATAACTTGAGCTTTACTATCATTTTAAACATCTAACTTAAAACTAATTAATTAATAAGTGGAGATACCCAACTTCAATATAAACCATAAGAAACTCATATGTAGACTTTAATAGTTTATTTTTATTTCAATATTTATTTATTTAGTGATGCTTAGATCCATGATTTATTTATTCACACTACAAGAAAATGAAAAATTAGTGGCATTTTCTTAGCGGCGTTTCACTTAAAAATGTCGTTAGCTTCCATATTTTTATCAAACTTGTGATGTTTTTTTATCAAAATGTCACTAAATATTCAAATAGCGTCATTTGTAGTTATAAACACCACTAAAGATAAAAATTAACGGCGTTTATCCATTAAAATACCTTAAATAATCTACTCATAAAAATTTAAGGGATTATTGAATAAGTTTTTGGCTTGAAACGTCTTCAATAATCCATTCATAAAAAATGGAGGAGATTACTGAAGGCGTTTTTTTTTTTTTTTTTATAGAAAATACCTTCAATAATCCTCTTTAAAAAATTAAAAGGGATTATTAAAAGCGTTTTTACATTTTTGGCCAAAAATGCCTTCAATAATCTCCTTATTAAAATTTTAAGGAAATTATTAAATGTATCTTTTGCCTGAAACACTTTCAATAATTTTCTCTAAAAAATTAGAGAGAATTATTAAAGGCGTTTTTGGTTTGAAATTTATGAGAGGATTATTGAAGGTGTTTCTATAAAAAAAACTCCTTCAATAATCCCCAATACTTTTTTATTGATGGTTATTGAAGGTATTTTTTGCCTGAAACGCTTTCAATAATCCCGTCTAAAAAATTAAAAGAGATTATTGAAGGTATTTTTGGCTTAAAATGTTTTTAATAATCCACTCTAAAAAATTGAAAGGGATTATTGAAGGCGTTTTTTTACCTAAACGCCTTCAATAATCCCTTCTAAAAAATGAAAAGGATTATTAAAGGCATTTTTGACAGAAAACGCTTTTAATAACTTTTTATAAAAAATATTTTTTATAGGAGATTATTGAAGGTATTTTTGATTAAAAACGCTTTCAATAATCTTCTCATCAAAATTTAAAGAGATTATTAAAGACGTCTTTTGCTTGAAATGCCTTCAATAATCCTTTCATAAAAAATAGAGAGGATTATTGAAGGTATTTTTTTTGTAAAAATACCTTGAATAATCTTAAAAAAATAATTAAATAAAAATAGAATATTGGAGGCGTTTTTAGCAAAAAACGCCTTCAATAATCATACTTTTTCGCTGCTAAATTTTTCTTAAATTTCAAACCCACAAGACCTCCTTTTTGCTTTTTTTTTCCCTACTCATTTCTTTCATTTATGCTCATTTTGGGTTGCTTTATTCTCATTTTTTGCCTAAGTTCAATCATTTTGTGGCCAATTTTCATCTTTTTTCCTTTCATTTTTGCAAATTTCAAGTTAACTTTCTTGCAATTTGGATTAAATTCTTAAACTCCATGTCTGATTTATTATGTCAAATCCCTAAATTTTCTTTTTGATTTGTTGCTTTTCTACTGCTGTTCAAGCTCTATTGGTAAGCTCAATTTCAATATTAGCAATTTTTAGTGTTTAGTCATTTTTTCTTTTTTTTTATCAATTTATTTTGTTATTGCAAATCTGAATTTGGTTTTGTTTGGTCAGTGAGAAAAACTCAAGATAAAACAAAAAGTAAAAAAATAAGATTTTTCTCTGAAAAACTTGAAATTGAATGTTGAATTTAGTTATAAACACGAATTAAACTTTAGGTTTATTTTTTTTTCAACAAAATATTTTTTAAATTAGTAAAAAATTATTACTTGTTAACATAAATTTATTGATTCATTCAAGATATCCTTAGGAAACCATTCTGAAATAATTTATTATGTTTTTTTTTCATCTCATCTTGGCATTTGTTTTGTTTATTTTTTCAGATCATTGTGTTTGATGAAATGACTTAATCTTACTTAAAAGGATTCGTTGTTCATAAAAACCTTCAACAACAGAAGATGGTAATGATCAAGGAGAGAAAAATCTTTTATCAAATGATAGTATTCCAAATCTATGCAATCATCAATTTCATATATTTTAAATTTTTGGTTAATGTACTAAAATAATTTGAATGTTATTGCATGTATTAAACTTTATATTCCATCTATATTAGAACAAATTATGTATTTATAATATTTAGTTTATGAATTTAAGTTCATTTTTATTTCTTTTAATATTTTTATTTAATGATAATAATCAATATTAAAAAAAAAAATTTTAAATAAATTTTTTAATTTAACAACGTTTATACTTTAAAATGTCTCTAAATATCAAAATATAATGGTGTTTTCTACTATAAACGTCACTAAATTTAGTGACATTTTATACTATAAACGTTTTTATATTTAGTGGCGTTTTATGATAAAATTTAGTAACGTTTTATGATAAAACTTAGCGGCATTTTTCTAAAAACACCATTATTTTTTTTGACGTAGGTATATGCGACACTTTTAGTAGTATTTTGACGAACGCCGCTAAATATGAAAAAGAATGCTACTAAAAGCCTAATGCCCTTAAATGTCAATACAACAAAGGATACTAGTGCATGCTTATGCATATCTTAGTAGTGCTTCCACTTTCACAGCTACACCTGAAACCAAATTTGGCTTGCTCGTTCATCGCTGTAATCATGAACCGTAATCTCATTAAGGTTGGCACTAGTATCTTTCACATCCATCACCTGTTCAGTCACCACATGCAAAATGGTACCATCACTCTCAAATCGCCACCTTTCCTCAATCCATCCATCGCATGTTCCCACGGTAACTAAGTCCCCATCTGCATTTGCATACTTGAGACAACCATCACGATTCTTCTGAGGCCTGATGGTTCCGTCTGGATATACTGCTCACTGTTGTTCGGCATCGTTGCTCACACATTTTTCCAACCACACCCGACTTCCACTTGCGAGCAAGCACAGACCATTTTAACCAATAATGGTGGTCACTGATGGCTTCGTATTATTACTGGCATACCAAGCTTGCCTAGAACCATAAAAGTTGTTATCTAAAACCAGATTAATCATGCCTGAGCTATCCTTACTTTCCGTCAAGACTAGCCCAGATCTGGGATTTCTTATGCTTCCGTCGCTCAAGATGTTTCATTTGGTGGCATCAGACACAGCGGTGTCACAATCATAGATCATCACATAGTTTCCGGAGCTATATCCATAAGTGGTTAAGCATTTGCCACCAGATCGAATTGTGTTATCATCTGTTCTCAACGTCCATAATTGATTGGCCTGATTTTGTCCACATTCCCATAAGATTATTTTGTTTCCATTGTGGTAGCTTCCCTGGTATACATCAACACAGAGACCATTTTGTCCAGTAATATGCAAGGTTGGTGCTAATGCTTTTTCACAAGTGTCACCTTTGTCTTCCAGGCCAATGGATCTCATAGCCATAGGCAACAAAGAAGAAAACTCATATGATGATATTGATGCTGGCATGCGCAAAAGCTCCAGATTAGCTCCTGTGTTTCTGCATATTAATGGCATTATTGCAATAATGAAACGCACTTGACTCAAGGTGCTCAAAACCAATTCTTGACCCTCATATACTAAACGGCCTGCTCTTGTGAAGATTCCATCTGTTGCAGATTGGATGTCAGAGGAGATGTGCTCCCAGTTAGTTTCATACTCCATCAGTAAACCATCTGGATAAAAAATTCCATAAATTCCATCTGCACGAGGCTCTGCAACTGCAAGTATTTCTTGCTGGATGTTTCTGAATCGCACAGCTTCTGAAACCATCTGGATACAAATTATAAGGGCTCTAGCGATGGGGCGTCTAGAGGAACTGGGTTGGAGATAATTCATGTTCTCAATATGTTGGCGTAGTTCGTCAATTCCCAGAGGGATTTCCCTTCTATCACCCACTCCTGCAGCATCTTCAAGTGCCCTACATATGCCAGTAAATGGAAGAGACTCTCTCTGAGTGTTTGGGAGAAAAACACTACGTGCATCAATGGGAACATCTCTAAAGAAGTAGGAGCTTCCACTTCCACCTGGTTGATAGCCCAAGATATACACATTACTGATATTCAAAGCTAATGTGACGGTTTGGTACCCATTTGAGAGTTCCACCAGAAGATATTGCTCGGGATCAGTAGGCTACGCAGATCGGGGAGGCAACACTGGTATGTCTCCACTTATATATCTCCACGGACTGTTGATATTCCGCGCAGATGCGACATAAATCTCATATGCGAGTTTCTTGTGGCACCGTTAGTGGTGAATCCGGGCTTGTAAATCTTGAGGTTGTGTTCTTTTTCTGTCGCAGAGATGCAGCACTGTGGTTCAACAATGGATATCCAAAAAACCCATACAGCCAATACAACCCAAACCTTCATTTTTTGTTGATACGGGGAAACTTTCATTTCACACAGTGCATGAAAGTTTTTATGGAAGTATTTTATTTGGTGGAAGACTAGAGTAGGTAGAGAAATTTTTGCAGGTGCTTTGCTTTATTAGAGGAGAGCACCTTTTTTAATAATATATAGAACTTTGATTCTTTTCACATAAACTTGATAGGTATCGGTCGTTTTTAATAAATTAATTATCCTTCGCAGTATGTACTGAAATTATTGATTCTCCCAATAGAAAAAACTCAAATTATTGAGCTTTCAAAGCATTAAATCATCTTACTCAATGTGATTTTTTATTAAAATTTTTATTTATTTATTTTTAATAAAAAATTTCACGAATTTTATGAGATTTTACGTAAATTTTATCCAAGTTGTGGCGATGACTATTCCTCACTTTCGAGTCCAAACCACCCAATAGCATTCATAGACAGGCGTGAAATAATACAGAGGAAACAACAACAACACCCTTTTTCGTCAAAGGAACCAGTAAAAGAGTTAGTTTCCCTGTAAATGTGAACAAAATCCACCTCTCCAACAACTTCTCTAAGCCTATCTCGGCCAAGAATTCATATTGAGCACCCAATTGATAGCCAAAGGGACAAGGAAGTATTACAGTTCTTTTAAGAATTACCAAAGAATAATAATTGCCTGCAGCATGTAGGGAATTATCATGAACTAAATATTTCAGCAATTGAATCGAAGCCTTTTCAAGGCAATCAATATCAACCATGAAGATAGATGGTGGCATTACCTGGAAGCACTGGACTGAAGTAAAGAGAAAAACATGAAACTCTTGCTACTGTTAAAGCTCCGTTTCCTGCTTGGGCAAGCATTTATTAAAGAGATATAAAGTTAAATAGAATGCACTGAATATAATTAGCACTTGAAATATAGGTATATTACTATTAATTTTTTTATTTATTTTTTATGTTGATCATTTGTCAATTTTATTTAATAGCAAATACAATATTTTTAAATTCTTTCCACACCTTGATGGAATTTTAAAAATATCTCCTAACCTAATAAGTTTTCTTTAAAAAAGTTGTCATTTGTAATTTTTTTAAAATTATACATGTCATTTATACTATTATCCTTTTATTTTTTTTTTCATATTTCACCCTGCTTAATATGTTTTATTTTTATTTTTTTTATATTCCTCTTTATCGATTTTTCAAATTAATTAATACGATGGAATAATTCTTATGTCTCTTCCTATTGTATTATTTATATATTTTTGAAAAAAGTTACTATAAATTTCCTAAAAAATTTATAATATTAAGGAGGTTTCAACAATAATTTTATTATGATTATTGCTTTTTTTTTAATTTTTACTTTTTTTTAGTAAATGCAATAAAATTTAAATTTAAATTAAATGACCTAATGAAACATAATAAATAATAATAATCAAATCAAATTAAAGGACAAAAAAATATTATATCATTTTTTTCTAGTTTAATTAATTACTTTTCTTTTCCAGGTTTAATTTTGTAAAATCCAATTTATCTAAACTTTCTGTGTAGATTTTTTAATACTTTCTAGCAGTTTTAGATTTTAATTTTAAGATCTTTTTTGAGTTTATAGTTTATATTGTAATTATAACCCAGCCATCTGGCAATCCTAAGCACTATGAACCCATCTGATCGGTTGGGCCAATGAGGAGGAATTGTGAAGAAAATTCAACATGCATTTGTAAGTGGGCGTGTATGATTTTAGTCGGTAAGGGCTGAAAGCCACTGATAGAACTTCGATTCTTTTCACTTAAACTTGATAGAAATCGGCCATTCCTAATAAATTTTGCTTGGCAGTATGTAATGAAATTATTGAGCTTTCAAAGCATGAAATCCACATAAATCGTTGTTCCTTATCAAATAATAAATATTCTTACAGGACCACACCATTTTGTTATTCGCCCAATAGACAAAAAAAAAAAAAAAATCCAATTATTGAGCTTTCAAACCAGGAAATTATCGTGATCAATGATTCGTGGGGTGATGACTAGAGTGAGGTTTATTATGGTGCAGTCCTGTGAGGTCCTCTCACATAGACCGTATGATTTCATGGCTCCGTTCTTCATCGTTGGATCTAAAAGTTACTTATGTTGAGTGTAATTGTAACCGGTGAAGCTCAAAAGAAAAATGACAAAACCAAGACCCCGTTAGTGGCTATCGCAGTTATCGCACGTGCTTCTAAATTTTGATTTAAGGTTCAAAACTCGTTGGACCGCACAGTTGCCGAACCATTTCTTGGGGCATGGCAGGTTTGGAAGTTGTTAATGAATAACGATTTCCATAGAAAAAGCTCAGAGCTTTCAAATCGTGAAATAATCGTGCTCACTATTTTGCCGTGTGATGTACCCAATTCCATGGACACCGTACAATTGGATGATATTCATGCTATTCTTATCAAAGTTATTTTCATGATATTCATGCTTTTGTTGGTTTTGCAAACTTGCATTGCAGTAACCTTCAAAGTGGGCACGTCCCACTTTGGTTGGAAAAGACTGTAAGTTCAGGCCCCATTTCCCAAAATGGCTCAACAGTCAACTGGAATGCTACTCCATTCAACAAGCGTGCACGCATTGCAACGCCTCGCCTCGCCGCGCCCTGCCATGCCATGCCATGCCGTACGAAAATAATACAGGGAAGCTTTGCATATAAACGAATGTTGGATGGAGTCACAGTAAAATATTTGGGTCACTACAGAAAATGGATTAGGCCCGTTTGTGAGAAAGGACCGCAAACGCACAGCTCTTGGAGTTTTGGACAATGCCCGTTGCACCATGAATTAGGTCCCGTCCAGCTAGTGCTGGATGAAGATTGTGAAACAAAAATGGGCCAAAACAGATATGTATCAAAAGCTGAAAAAGCCCTTCTTAAATGGATTGTTGTTGGACAGGTCGGAATTTGTCGTGCCTTTTGAGCTTCAAAAGCTCATCAAACAAAACGGGTCTTTAACAAGGCACCCAACAAAGCAAAGAAAAATAGTATTAAAGCCCAATTGTCATTTTAAAGTAAATTAACTCACTTTGTGTTTTGATAGAGTTTAGCTACTAATCAAGACCCCATATGTAGTTTGAATTAGTGCCGCAGAATTTGTAAAATCTCCCTATTCAAGTTATATTGGGAATGTGATTGCAGCATTCATGGAAGGCTGAAGAAGCATGGCGTAATGGACTCTCCGAAGTGCAGAGACTGGATTTGTTTGCATGTAGAGAAAAAAGATAAATTCAATAGAAGTTTCAGTTTTATCTTCCGAAATGAAAATGTTTGAGTGGTAAAAAAAATTTAGCACAAAAAGTGAGCTTCAACTAGTAAATTAAACTGTTAAATTTCTAACAATAAAATCCTAAGTAGCAATTTTTATATTACTTGTGCAATAAATTTATGGCTATTTCCCAAATTAGTTGATGGTCAATTCAGTCCTTTAATATTTAACTGAAGTAACCAAGTCTTTATTTTGCATAGATTTAGCCCCGCAATACGACATTGACACAATTAGAATGTCCAAGTTATTTAATGAAGCTTAATGAGTACCTTATTACAAGGTCACAACTCACAACATTTGGTGGTCATTCATATTATAAACTAGCTTTTTTAACCCGTACATGTACGAAATTTTTTATTAAAATTTTCATAATTTTAAATTTATTTTTTAATTATTTATCTAATATATAATTATATATTTATAAATGTTAAGTTACATTAAATGATAATTTATACATAATATATTATAAATGATATTGTTAATCTAAGCAAAGTTTAAACTTTTGTAAATTTTCAAGAATTATAAAAATATTTTTTTTATTAAAAAATGTTGTCTTCAATTTATTTGCTAAATACTAAAAATTTTGCTACTGTTTTTTTTTATTTGATAAAAAATCAATAATCAATATTTAAATAGTTAAGATTAATAATTGTTTTTATCATAATGTTGATTAGGTGGTGTATATATATTTATATTTGATTAAACAACAAATCATAATTATTATTTTTTTATAATTATTTGCTTTTTATTAATTCTTTTTTTTGATATACTTCAAGTAATTATTACACAAATATATTGGACTAACAATTATTTCTATATATGTTAACAAAATAAAGTTATTTTTTAGATAAAAAGGAAATAATAATTCTTTATGTTATGCTTATAAACTTTTTTTTGAAATATTTTTTTTATTTTTAATTATTTCTAATATAATTGATAGTATTTTTTGTGAGTTAGATATGGTAGTGATAATTATTCTTTTCATATCATCTATTATAGACAAAGAAATTCAATAATAAAAAGAGCAAAAGGAAATAGAAAATATAAATTTACATATTAATTTGTCAAGATTAAATATATACAATAACAAAAATAAATACGTTAATAAATTAACAGAGAATAAAAACCTTGAAGAAATAAATAAAACAAAAAAACTATATAATACAAAAAGTTAATTATAATCAATCTAAGCAAAATTAAAAAAACTTATGGACTAAAGAGAAACAAATAAATTAACCTAATATATAATATAAAATATCTGAATTAGAACATAAATAAAACATTATATTTGTTTTCAAAGCAAAAACATATTTTTATCTAACTTTTTTATCAACATTTAAATGTCTCATATTTTCATATAAAGATGTAAGCTTTTATTACTTTAAAATACATACTTACTAATCAATAATTCATTAACTTATCTAAAAGTATTAAATTTAAATAATCTATTAAATAAATTTCAATTTTTGATAGATTTTGATTTGAATTTAAATAATTATCTAAAAATATTAAATTTAAATAATTTATTAAATAGAATTATTTGACAAAAAATAAAATTTTATTAAGTATATATATTTAAAATTGCCATTAAATTTAAAAAGAAAAGATAAATTATGATTTAATGTATTTGAATTCAAATCTTATGCAAAAATTTTAATCTTAGATAGATATTGATTTCAATTTAAATAATTTATTCAAAAAATTTATTTGATAAATGCAATAATATAAATATTATCCTATATATCATTAAAAGAGATTATTCACCTAGGCATCCACATAAGCAATTTTAATCATGTAATCTTGTAAGTTATAATATAATATAAAAATACATGCTTCTAGTCAATAATTCATTAACTTATCTAAAAGTATTAAATTTAAATAATCTATTAAATAATTTTTAATTTTTGATAGATTTTGATTTGAATTTAAATAATTATCTAAAAATATTAAATTTAAATAATTCATTAAATAGAATTATTTGACAAAAAATAAAATTTCATTAAGTATATATATTTAGAATTGCCATTAAATTAAAAAAAAGATAAATTATGATTTAATATATTTGAATTCAAATCTTATGCAAAATTTTCAATCTTAGATAGATATTGACTTCAATTTAAATAATTATCCAAAATATTGAATTTAACTAATTTATTAAAAAAATTTATTTGATAAATGAAATAATATAAATATTTTCTAATGTGTCATTAAAAGAGATTATTCACTTAAACATCTACATAAGTAATTTTAATAATGTAATCTTATATGTTGTAATATAATATATATATATATATATATGATTACATTTAAAATCAGTCAACTTTTCACAAAAAAAAAAGGATAAATTGAAAAAAAAAAAAAACGAACCTTTGCCCTATTTTAAATTAAATCCCAACCTTTTAATTATTTCAAATTAATAGCCAATCATTTTAAAATTTAGCAATTTAAGAAACGCCGTTAATTTAGACTAACACTAGCCATCTATAATCAGTAACTTTTTACAATCCAATTGAATTCTATCAATTTTTTTATATAAATTCTTGCATTTATTTAAGCAATTACAACTTTCAATTTTCGTCCCAGTCCTTTATTTTCCTTACATTATAGTCAATTTTTAAGAATGTTTTAAATTTTTTAGTTAAATAGATAATAATCCTCATGTACACACCAACAACCAGATGCTATAATTGAAAATTTGTGCTTAAATGCAAGGATCATGTTATGGTCCATACACTTTAATTAAGACATCTTATTTAAATTGCGTAAAAACTACGATTGAAAGATTATTTGTAATGTTAGAAAAAATAAATAAGAGATGAAAAATAATATAAAATAATTTTAATTTTGAGGCGTGAAAAATATTGTTTTAAAGATAATTATATTTTTAAGATATAACAAAAACTTAAACTCTCTAATAAGAAATAATAAAAATGATTATACTAAAAGATTTATTTATAATAAATGAACAGGCAGAAATTTTTATTCAGATTGTTAGACTTTTTATATAATCATAACCTTTATGAATAACAATATATTTATATTTAAATAATTATGAGCATTTGTCATATGATAATTATTTCTATTCAAACAAAATTATTTATAATACTAATAAAATTAATACAAAAATTAATTTTATTCATCAATAATTAAATCTTTCTATCAAATGTAAGATGCATCACATTTTAAACTACCAACAATCCCCTACTAGTTTGGAATGTTAGTGCTTAATCTTTAACTTTTCACACAAAAAAATATTATGAATACAAAAATATATTTCTCGATTTAAACTTAGCGTATATATCTTAGAATTCTAACGAAGTTGATAGTGTTTGTAAATTAAATCTAAACTTACAGTGTTAGAATTGAAGATATAACACACATAATACTTATTTAGTCTTCTATCAAAGGTTTATAACCGCTTTTAACACTATTATGGTCATATGCTTATCTTATTCATAAACATTTATAAGAGTGACCCCAATTTTTTTTGTTGAAGCGACACTACTTCTATGTTTATATAGGCAGAGTTTTCATTATATCTCTATTGCTTTAGTCATTTAAAACTCCATTACGAGTATAAATACCCATCTTCTCTCACGCAATAGATCACACTAGTTTCTAAAATTTGAATGGATTTTACTAGTTCTTAATAAACACAAAAAAATAACTTGTTTTTATCTATTAAACTTTGTAATTAGAGGTTACTAATTTAAAGTTGGGTTTTCATTATTGGTGTCTAATAGTAAGAGTTCAAATCCATTCTACTTGTTGTACTACTAACCAATATATTGGAATTCAATTTCTTTTATG